GAATGGTAGCTAATATTTGCATAGCATATATCTGATAAAAGACTACACAGAATATATTGAAAAACTCTTACAACTCAATAATAAGAAGGATAAATAACTCAATTTAAAAATGGGCAAATGATATGAATAGGCATTTCTCCCAAGAATATATACAGGTGGCCAATAAGCACATGTCTTTGCTGGTCATTAGGGAAATGCAAATCAATACCACTTCATACACAATAGAATGGCTATTATAAAAAAGACATGGTAACAAGTGTTGGTGAGAATGAGGAGAAATTAGAATCTTCAAACATTGTGGGGGTAATGTAAAATGGGGCAGGCACTTTGGTAAACAGTCTGGCAGTTGCTCAGAAAGTTAAACATAGGGGTGCCTGGGTGGCTCAGTTAGTTAAGCATCTGCCTGCAGCTCAGATCATGGTCCAAGAGTCCTGGGATAGAGCCCCACATAGGGCTCCCCACGCAGTAAGTCATCTGCTTCTCTCTCTGCCCCTCGCTCTTCTCTTATGCTCTCTCTCTCTCATTAGGTGCTCATTTTCATACTGTGGAGTATAGTTTCTTTGCAGTAATTTTCAAATTTTAACATATGTAAGTCAACTAGGAGAGTGTGTTCAAGTGCAGAGTTCTGGGTCCCAGAACTACAGCTCTATTTCAGAAAGTCTAGGATGAGACTTAGGTATCTTAATTTTAAACAAGCCCTCTTCAAAAGCATTGTGGAAATACTAATTTAAATAACTTGCATCATGTTTCAAAGTTAGAAGCCCTGTTCTCTGGATAAGCTATTGAGAAGTTAGAAGTGTTTCAGCTTTTCAGTTTGAAAAACACCTGGGGTAGATACAGGGATATTTGTTTACTAATCTCAGATCATGTGCTTGAGGAACAGAGATCTTTAGGAGACTTCTCCAGGGACAAAGGAGCTGGCTGGCATTATTTCCCTTCTCCAACTGCAGGTTTAGACACATGGACATCTGTGGGAGCCAGCAGGATGCCAGTGCTCACTAACTATCTTATTAACAGCTTGCCCTGTCTTCACATTCTCCTGTGGACATATGTCCTATAGCCAGGCCTTGGTTCCAGGTCTTCTCCCACAGCAGACCCATGCCAACCTTACTAACAGGCATCCTGCCCCTAATGCTTCTGTGAATACTCCCCCAACCCTCCCTTCAACCTGGCCTGCCTCAATCCTCTGTGACTGCAGCTCCCATCCCAAAGTGGACCAGCTCAGACCTTGCTAACCTTGTGCACTCTGACCCTGTGTTCATCAGCAGACCTGCCCTCTCTAATATGCCCTTGGCCAGAGCCCATCCACACCAAGCCTTGCAGTGTCAGAATGAGAGGAGAGATAAAAGGGAGCAGAAAAATTATCTGAAGAAATAATAACTGAAAAGTTCCCAAATCTGAGGAAGAAAGCAGAAATCCACATCCAGGTGGCAGAAAGCCCCCCCAAAATCAACCAAGCAGGTCTACATGAATAGTCATAGTAATTAAATGGCAAAAAGTGATGGTGAAGAGAGAAAGAGAGAGAGAGAGAGAGAGAGAGAGAGAGAGCAGGTACATATAAAGGAAATCTCATCAGTCTATCAGCAGATTTTTCAGCAGAAACTTAGCAGGCCAGAGGGAGAGGCATGGCATATTCAAAGTGCTGAAAGGAAAAAAACCTTCAGCCAAAAATACCCTATCCAGCAAGGCCATCATTCAGAATGGAAAGAGAGATAAGCAGCTTCCCTGACCAATGAAAGTTAAAGGAATTCATGACCACTAAACCAGCCTGACAAGAAATGTTAGAGGGGACTCAGTAGAAAGGAAATCCAATAAGTAGGAGTAAGAAAACTAGGAAGCACAAAAGCAGTCAAATTAAGTCTATCTTAAAAATCAATCATGAGATCCTGACTGGATGTAGGTTGTAAAGTATGCAAAGGATGTAAAGTATGACATCATATGCTTAAAATGTGGTGGGAGTGGAGGCAGGAGAGGAGTAAAGATTGCATTGAAACTTAAGTGACAATTACCTTACTATGGACAGCTATATGCATAAGATATTATATAAAAACCTAATGGTAACTACAAATCAAAAGGCAGTAATAGATATGCAAAAATAATGAAAAAGGGATCCAAGTATACCACTAAAGAAAGCCAGCAAACTGTCAGAGAAGAGAGCAAGAGAAGAAACAAAAAAGAACCACAGAAACACCCATAGGACAAGTAACAAAATGGCAATAAGTACACATACCTACCAATAGTTACGTTGAATTTAAATGGATTAAAGCCTCCAATCAAAAGACATAGGGTGATAGAATGGATAAAAAGGCAAGACCCATGTACATGCTGTCTACAAGAGACTCATTTCAGATCTGAAGGCACATGCAGATCAAAAGTGAAGGGATGGAGAAGTATTTACCATGCATATGGAAGTGAAAAGAAAGCTGGGGTGGCAACACTTATATTGGACAAAATAGACTTTAAAACAAAGATTATAACAAAAGACAGAGAAGGACACCATATATAATCATAAATGGAACAATTCAACAAGAAGATATAACAATTGTAAATACTTATGCACCCAACATGGGAGCACCCAAATACATAAAGCAGCTAATACAAAGCATAAAGGAAGAAATAGATAGTAATACAATAATAGGGGACTTTAATATCCTACTGATAACAATGCTTAGATCATCCAAACAGAAAATCAGCAAGGAAACAGTGGCTTTGAATGACACATTGGACCAGATGGATTTAACTGATATATTCAGAACATTCCATCCTAAAGCAGCAAATATACATTCTTTCCAAGTTCACATGCACATTTTTTTAGATTAGATCCCATATTAGGTCACAAAAATGTCTAAATAAATTGAAAAAGATTGAAGTCATACCATGCATCTTTTCCAGCCATAAGGTAATGAAATTAATAATCACAAGAAAAAATTTGGAAAGACACCAACATATGAAGTTAATTAACATGCTACTAAGGAATGAGAAATCAAAGAGGAAATCAAAAAGTACATGAACAAAAATGAAAATGAAAACACAGTGTTTCAAAATCTTTGGGATGCAGTAAAAGCTGTTCTAAGAGGGAAGTTTATACCAACTCAGGCCTACCTCAGGAACAAAGAAAAATCTCAAATAAACAACCTAATCTTACTCCTAAAGGAGCTAGAAAAAGAAGAATAAATAAAGGCCAAAGCCAGTAGAAGGAAAGAAATAATAAAGATAAGAGTAGAAATAAATGAAATAGAGAGTAAAAAAAACAAAAAAACAAAAAAACAAAAGAACAGATCAATAAAACCAGGAGCTGGTTCTTTGAAAAGATGAACAAAATTTATGAACTTTTGGCCAGCCTCATCAAAAAAAAAAAAAAAAAAAAAAAAAAAAAAAAAAAAGCAAGCAAGCAAGTAACTCAAATAACAAAATGAGAAATGGAAGAGGGGAAATACTAATGGACACTACAGAAATACAAAGGTTTATAAGAGATTATGAAAAATTAAGTATATGTTAACAAATTGGACAACCTAGAAGAAATGGATAAATATTTAAAAACATATAGCCTCCCAAAAGTGAATCAGGAAGAAATAGAAAATTTGAACAAACTAGTATGCAGACTGATCACCAATGCAATTGAATCAGTAATCAAAAAACTCCCAACAAAAATCTAGGACTAGATAGCTTCACAGGCATATTCTATCAGACATTTAAAGAAAGTTAATACCTATTCTCAAAGTATTCCAAAAAATAGAAGAGGAAAGAAAGCTTCCAAATTCATTCATGACCAATTACCCTGATTCCAAAACCAGATAAAAACATTACAGAGAGAGAGAGAGAGAGAGAGAGAGACAGAATCACAAGCAAATATCTCTGAAGAACACAGATGCAAAGATCCTCAAAAATAGCAAACTGAATCCAGCAATATAAGAAAAAAATCATTCACCACAATCAAGTGAGATTTATTCCTGCGATGCACATGTTCAATAGTCACAAATAAAACAACGTAATACATCATATCAACAAGGGAAAGGATAAAAACCATATGATCATTTCAATAGATGCAGAAAAAGCATTTGACAAACTACAACATCCATTCATGATACAAACCCTCAATGAAGTAGGTTTAGAGGGAACATACCTCAACATAATAAAGGCCACATAAGAAAAACCCATAGCTAAGGTCATACTCAATGCTGAAAATCTGATAATTTTTCTCTCAAGAGCAAGAACAAGACAAGGATGTCCAGTCTCACCACCTTAATTCAACATGGTACTGTTAAGTCCTAGTCACAGCAATCAGACAATAAAAAGAAATAAAAAGTATCCAAATTGTAAGGAAGAAGTAAAACTGTTATAATTTTAAATGACATGATACAAAATATAGAAAATAATCAACAAAACCAAAAGATAATCTACTGAATGGAGAAGTGTTTGGAAATGATATATCTGATAAAGTATATAAAGAATGTATACAATTCAACAGCAAAAACCCCAAACAATCCAATAAAAAAATGGGCAAGATTTTGGCAAGGATGTAAAGAAAAGGAACACTTGTGCACTCTTGGTGGGAATGCAAATTGGTGCAGCCACTGTGGATCATGCATTCATGATCCTGAGATCATGACCTGAGCCAAAATCAAGAGTGGGATGCTTAACCTACTGAGCCACCCAGGTGCCCCTATAATATCTCATTCTTAAACATGCTTTGGATTTACTATTTCTTTTTGATTCCCAGTGACTGAACTCTAATATTTTGTCCTTCTTAATTCAAACCTGGGTTGGTATACCAGCCTTTGCTGAGATATGGGGCAATAATGTAGAGACTGGAGGCAAGGTATGTCTGGCAAGAGGCTGGTGAGGCTGGGGCAGAGGAAGCAAAGACATGGGAAGGGTTACAGTGTGATAGGAGATGAATGAGAGCTGGTGGAAAGGCCAAATACTCAGGGTCTTATCATCATGGGAAGGACAGAGAGAGAGAGAGAGAGAGAGAGAGAGAAGGAAAGTCATCCAAGGGCCTTGAACTGAGGAGTGACAGGATCTGACTTCTGTTTTAAGAAGGCCACTTTGGCTTCTGTATTGAAAATAACCTGGAGGAGAGCAAGAATCAGAGATACTGGAGAGGAGAAGACTGTTGCCATCATCAAGGGAGAGTTGATGGTGCTGGACACAACCATGGGTAGCAGTAGAGGTGATGAGATACAGTCAGACTCTGGATATATTCCAGAAGAAATACTGGCAGAAATTGCTGGTAGGTTAGAAGTTGAGTGTGAAAGAAGAGATAAGATGGTCTCAGGGATTTAGGCCTGAGCAACTACAGTATTTAAACTGCTGGCATATGGATGGATAGATGGATGGATGGATGGATGGATGGATGGATGGATGGATGGATGATAATTATAATAGAAAATAATTGTCTATCTACCCATTCATCAAAACAGTGATGGACAAATTATCTATCTATCTATGAAACATAGTCATGATTTTCCTCACTTAAAGTGAGACTGAAATAATCAGAAATTGTGAGAGATAGCTAACTAGTTTACCTTGCTAAGAAGGGACAAGCTTGGCCTTGAGCATTGCTCAGTGTAACCACTGAGCCTATTCTCTTTGCCTTACAGCACAGCGGCTCCTGCACACATCTCAAATATTTTGTCAACAAAAGTCCTGTATGGTGTTTGGGATTTGGGGAATTTGCAGATTTTACACAATCAAAGATAATTTATAGACCTAATCAGGTTTGCAGTGTTCTGGTGGTGTTAGCTGTAATCCAGAACTCCAGGTCCCACATCCTACAAATGTGCCAAAATGTAATGCCTTGATGAAGGCAATGAACTTTGCATTTTAAGGTCTGTTTGTCAAATGCAAAGAATGATTAATTAAAAATATGACTGACAAGGTTGGAAATTATTTGGGAACTTGAGGAACTTCAAACTGTGGCTTCAAAGTTGATTATATCAGCACAGTCTTATTTGCATTTGTTTTCTTTGGGCCACCTAGAAAATGTAGATTTTCATAATAGACTGGGATCTAATACTTACTCAGTAAGGAATATTTTTCTTAGGGTGAGCAATGCAAATTTGGTGCCAGATATGAATTCTAAAGTGTTACATTTATATCAGATTTCTAAACTCTTTTGTATCAAAAGAAACACTAGTTGAAACACTTTCCAAGTAAAATGGATTATACCTGCTGAAAGCATTATTGGTTCTCATAAGTTGCTGATTTTTTAAGAAGAGTGACCTTGAGGACAGCTGCTAGTTGGCACAGAACGCAATGGAGATGAGAGATGTGAGCCAAAGCAAACACCTGAGTCTACCAATTGTGTCCCATGGATACTTTCATGTCTCCATAAGGCATTTGGGGTCTTGGATTTGAAGATTCCTTTCAAAAGACTCATCCTCAGCAAACTCCCTGCTAGTTTAGATTCATTGGCATTTTACAAAACCTGGCAGTGTACTTGGGTCCTGCTTGTTAAGTCTTGCAAAGTACTATGGACTCAGGCTGCAATCTTAAGTTGAATTTGGGTATAGGAAATTAGCAATTACAAAGTGTTCTTTCTGCCAAAAATCACATGCTGCCACCATTACTTTGCTCTGTGATGAAACAGGTCATTTTAATTCTTTGTAGTAGGTGGAACAATGTGTACTCACCCAACCAAAAGGAAAAATACTTAACTCAAGGGAGATATTTTCAGCTGTCACATGTAGACTTACGTACATAATAGGAAAGGCAATCCTTTTCCCCCTGAGTACAACTTTTTAAGTAATCTTGAAATGCATTTGGCAAAATCCCCTCCACTTTAATAAGAGATTGTAAATTTGCCAAAGTTTAATACCACCAGACCACATTAAACTGGGTTTCTAAGTGCCAAGTGAGAAGAGATGTGAAGTAATTAGACAGGAAATTGTGTTTACTTGAACTTTAAGATATTGCTTCACTAACTTTTTTCCATTGGCAAGGAATGCATAGCTGGGAGTGATGCAAGACTGTTCATATTGTGCTGTTGATTTGTATGGGGGATTGGTGTGATTAGCGAATCAAGTAATTCTAGAGCTGATGATACCTTCACCTTATCTACTGCAACTTTCCAATTCTACCTATGAGGTAACTAGAGTCCAGAGGATAAACTCACTTGCCATCTGTCACTTATTTAGCTGGTAACAGTCAGGTCTGGAAGTTTTTCTATCTCACTGTCTTGAATAGAAGAAAAAGACCCAGCATCCTATGTTATTTGGATACTTGTATCTCCCCTTCTGCTTTTAAGTAAAATCCAAACATATGAGAGAATCTCTGGGGAAAGTGTATTATCAAAGGCAAGAATACTACTTTGATTTTTTTCTTGTTTTGCTTTCATTTTTTTCCTTCCACCTTTTTTATGATGGTGAAAATTCCCATAGCAATACCTCTATCTACTCAGCCATTCAAGCCAGAAACCAAGAGTTATCACCCTAACCACTAGATCACCAACTGTTAAACCAGTTGGCTTCTCAAACAGCTCTTAGATCTTGCCCACTTTCTATGCTCATGAATGATGCCTTAATGCAGTACCTATTATTTCTCAATACTTTTATTGGTTTCCCTTGTTTTCAGTGTCATTTTTCAGTGGGAAAAACTGTTATTTGTCCTCCATTTCCATTTTTTTTTCTGCTACATTTCCTGCTTACTTTGAAGCTGGGCATTACCATGTGACTAGGAGGTGGCAAATGGAAAGTAGGTAGAAAAGTCATATGTTACTTCCTGAGATCTTCTTTAAAAGGCAGTCTGTGGGCATACTTTGCCCTCTTTTACCGTGTCCCTACTCAACTTCGTTGCCTGGAATGTGGATATTGTCATCTTAGACATAATTAGAGGCATATATGACAGCTACAGGTGAGAGAAATAACATAGGAAGGGACTGAGCTTTTGACACCATGGGCCTTCTGATGTCATATCAGCCCTGAACTGGATCTCTGGACTAGCTTTTTTTAAACGGTGTTATTTTGTATTACTGTCAATCAAGCCAATCCTAATAGTATACAGCTGGGCACTTAAATTTCACCACATCTTGAAGGTAATATTTCTGAAACAGATTTGATCATGTCCCCAAACTTAAATGTCTTCCTATTGTTTATAGAATAAAGTTCAAACTCCATTACAAACCTTGATAAGACATGGACTTTCTCTGGAGCCTCATCTCTCTTCATGCTTCCCCTTTGTGCTTTAAACTCCAGCAATACTGAATCATTTGCAGTTCACTGAATTCATTCTAACCTCCAGGCTTTTGCCCATCCTGTTTCCCCTGGCTGGAAATGTTCTGTTCATCCTTTAAAAACCAGTTTTGATGCTTTCTTATTCTGTGATGTCTTTGCCCAACCCACTGAACTCTAAGAGAGTTAATCATTCTCTCCTCTACGTGACTTTCACCTTGTTCTTGCTTCTATTAGTGCTTTTATACTACATGGTAATTATTTTTCTATATGTATATTTTCTCACCTGGGCTATAAATGCATTGAAGAAGAAATCAGTACTTTTTCTTCCTTTCTTTCTTCCTTTTTTTATGATTAGAAGAGGGGATATTGCCAGGCCCTCAATAAGTGTTGAACTGAACTAATTTCAGTTGAACTCTAAGGTGTTTAGGAAAGAGAATGAGAGAACAGAAAAGTAGGTAAAAAGTAGTAAAGTTTTTTTTTTTTGTAATTAGCACATGAATGTGCTTGGATCCTAATAATTAATATTTACTAGGCACCATGGCTTTGGCAGAAAATTTGAATATTTATAATTTATCTCATTATTTAATATTATATTTCCATGAAGCCAGAAGACCAGAAATTCTTCTAAGGTATATATTTAGGCTACTAAAGAGAAAAAAATACTGCCTTTGAGGCCGTAGATGTAAAGTGTGGGTATATTAAAGTTAACTCATGATTATAACATAATCATAAAACATAAAACATTCAAGGATAAGGTAGCAAAAAAAAAATGAAAATAAATCTGCTACCATAGCAACTAATTAACAATTTAATGAAATCTCCTGACTCACTTGGAATTAACGTAGAGAGATTTGTAAAATGAGGTAAAATAGAAGACATAAATGGATTTAGATGAATGTTATTTTTTTAGTTTTATTGAAATTTCAACTGATAATCCATTGTTAATTTGAGTTATAGACAAAGCTATAGGACTACAGTAAGATTAACTACTGTACCCTTCAAGATAGGATATGAGATCAGGCTAAGTCTCACAAACAATGTTGATCTAAAGAAGCAACCTCCCGGGGCGCCTAGGTGGCTCAGTGGGCTAAGCCTCTGCCTTTGACTCAGGTCATGATCTAAGGGTCCTGGGAACGAGCCCCACATTGGGCTCTCTGCTCAGCAGGGAGCCTGCTTCCCCCTCTCTCTCTGCCTGCCCCTCTACCTACTTGTGATCTCTTTCTTTCTCTGTCAAATAAGTAAATAAAATCTTAAAAAAAAAAAGAAGTAACCTCCCCACAAAAAATAAAGAAAGAAGCAAAACCTAAAAGAATATGTAATAGTATAAAGTTCAAAATTCAAAAAAAGACCATATTAAACTATATTGTTTATGAATAGATACCTAGATGATAAAACTATCAAGAGAAGCAAGGAAATGATTGCCAGAAAAATCAAGATGATGGTTTCCTTTGGAGCAAAGATGTCATTGAATTAGAGAAGGACAGGTGGAGCTTCTGGGGTCCTGGAAAAGTTTATTTCTTAATGTAGGTTGAACTTACATGAATATTTTCTTGAAATTATCTATGAAGTTGTACCTTGAAATTACTTATTAAATTGTACATAGATGTTTCATGTAGCTTTGTTTGTACACTATTATATTTCAGAATTAAAATGGGAGGAAAGCGGGTATATCAATAGGTAAAAGTGAAACATTCCAATAGGAAAATGTGCAAAAAATCAGAACTGAGTGGTCATTAAGCATAAAAAATATGCTCAACACTAGTAATTAGGGCAATAAAAATTAAAAATACAATGAGATTCCATTTAAGACCCATCAAATGTGCTTGAAAAGTATGACAGTATCTTGGTGAAGCTATGGAAGAACAGAAACTCCTCTATGCTGCTGGAACCCAAATTAAAAAACAACTGGGACATTATTTTGTGGAGCTAACACATTTTTACCCTACAACCCAGCAATAACTGCTCAAGATACATGTATAAGGATA